GGGCATTTCCCCCCTAGTGGCTGAAATATGTTACAGCATTACTACGTCTAAAACTGTTCCAATACAAATATTTCGTATATCAATATTTTAATAGATGTAATATAATGATTGTTACAATACAAATCTGAATAATATCATGTTTTGTTTGAAATAATTTCATTTTTGGACAGTCGCATGTTGTGACGTGTGTGTGTGACGTATGAGGTTAAGGACACAAGTTCCCTCGCTTTTTTTTGCCTACAAGTGATTCAGCTATTGTATTACAATAATTAGCAGTAATGGGTATGCGGCAATTTTTAAAACGTCCAATTTCTGGAACGTTTAAGGCATCTACTTCTGCACTAAGTAGGACACTGGTTAATAATATTGTAGCGTGTTCAAGTAACCAAGGGTTAGTTATCAAATAAGTATAAGATGTGCACAGTTATGATAAGTTTTACAGTTATGTAATGCACTGTTGTTGGGGGGAGAGACCGCCCCTTCCATATGAGTGTGTGTGTACGGCGGGCATGAGGCGTGCACGACCGGACGAGTTGTGTTCGTATGTGGAAAAGTCATACTCAGTGCGGTGAGCGCTGGCTTTAGTGCTACTGTATCCGTAGCAGCCCACCACGCAATAGTTGGGACTGTGTACTGACGTCAGTAAAAAAGGTTTTCCCCCTAAGTTTTTTTTTTTTTTTTTTTTTTTAGTTGAGTCAGTTTATTGAACATGTCAGAAACAAAAACATACAACAATACTATATATATATATACTCTCTTTTTTCCCTTTTTCTTTCTCACTCAAATTAATAATTATAACAAAGTACAAAAAAACATAATAATAACAACAACAAAAAAAACTATAATAATTCTCAAATAGTGTCTGTCATGTTCAACAGGGGCAAGAAGAAGCTTAAAAAAACTTTTCTGGTCCTACCCCCTCTAGCATATATTTTTCTTATAAATAAAATATTAGGTCATCGTCATCAGCGACATGTTTGTCTTGTTAATTTGTTTGCTTTTTGACAAAACAATCAGAAATAAATTACTTTTACAATTACAAGAAATAACAACAAATGGGATTTTACAGGTCCTGTTCATAACCATTACTGATTTTGCTCCTAAATAATACATACCAAGCGCAAATGTCAAACTCCGCCTATGCTCGTACAGCTTTCCTGATCATGTCGAGTCCTCAATTATAATCCTTTCAGGCTCCCTGATTTCCTCTGAATCCAATTTGATGCAAAACGCCGGTAAGTAACAGCATCAGTAGACTAAAGCTGGGAATAAACCCCCAGATTACTGGCACCTATAGCAAGGCTTAAAACGCCACTTCAACACACCACCCCCATTACTAATCATACAAAGATTTTTGTAATAGAAAACACATAATGTACTAGAGAGTATTCAAAAAGAGGTATAAAGAAACAATTCTCACACACAGGGATGAAATTGCTAAACCATTCTCTGTGAGAATAGACCGTTCTTGGAAATGAGAACGGTCATCCATCAATAAATGTTAAATTCACTGGCAGAAAAATGGTAAAGGTAAAATGGAAAAAAATGCCAATTACACATCTCCCTTTGCTGAGAGATGTTTTCACTCTTGCCTCATTCCAGTTGTAAAAATTAAACATGTCAAAAATAATCTTAATGATAATGGCGTTGTGGATGAGAAACATTAAACACTGCACACACAGAATGATTTGATTTCCCGGCTGCCCTCCCATTAAGCCTCCATCGAGGTACTAATTGAGGTTTAGTATGATGGGATCATTGTTGCTCCATTAAATAATTTAATCCAGTTTCTTTATTAATTCTCCTGCTCCGTACTTCACAGATCCCTCGCTCCAGACAAAAAAAGATCTCAAATCCATCCTTTAACGCAGCGCATTGCTCCCATTGTGTTTAAATGACCCACAGGCACTGCTTTATTTGATTATTTCTATCAATCGATTATAATTCTGAATAAAAAACGTGGTCTCTGCTGCTTCTCCTCTGTCTCTCCTCACTCCTCACTCCTCTCATCAGCCAGGCTTTTCATGCATTACAATGAGAGACCATGTTTCTGTTCCCACCACTCTCCCCTTTTTTCTGAAATGTATTCAGAGTTTTTTTTCTCTGCTTCTCATTCTCCAAATCCCCACACTGTATGGGTATTAAAATATGCTGGCTGGAGAGGGAGCGAGTGTATAAAAGAAAAAGAAAGTGCGAGAGACAGGAAGGATGTTACAGCGTGAAGAGAGAAAGGAAAGAGGCAGACAGTGTGTCCTTAAGAGAGAGGAGGCAGAGCTCGCTCACTAGCTTGTTAATCTCTCCGGACTTGACATTTGAAAACCTCCAAACCTCTCCTCCTCCTCCTCACCCCTTTACTCCCAGCGCAGTGATGTGTGTAAATCCAGCGCTACCACTGAATAGACTAAACTTCGCCTTGGCTCTAAATCCCTTCTGAAACCTGGTAGGACAACTATCTCTCAGTGGAGGAATTCACCTTGAACAAAAGACTCCGGCTTTACATGCACAGAGAGTATAAAACTGAAACTGGGATAATTATGAGCAATGACACACGGGTCATTTTTGGACATGAGCAGTCCCTCTAGGAATAGAGTGGTGCAGTGATGACGTGTATTATTGTATGACAAGGGCTCCCTGGACAAAAAGCCAATGGGATTTTTGTATTGGATTTTGGAATATTGCAGAAAATAAGATATTTGGCAAACACATTTATGACACTTACACATCTTGTTCAGCAGGGTAACATACATCTATCGATTTACACCACTTTATGTCGAAAGCGTTATAAAGGAACTAAAGCACGGTCACATGACTTCACGCCACCACCGCTAAGCTAAAGATGGCTAATGTTTGGCTATAAAGGAACTACAGCACGGTCACATGACTTCACGCCACCACCGCTAAGCTAAAGATGGCTAATGTTTGGCTATAAAGGAACTACAGCACGGTCACATGACTTCACGTCACCACCGCTAAGCTAAAGGTGGCTAATGTTAGGCTATAAAGGAACTACAGCACGGTCACATGACTTCACGCCACCACCGCTAAGCTAATGTTAGGCTATAAAGGAACTACAGCACGGTCACATGACTTCACGTCACCACCGCTAAGCTAAAGGTGGCTAATGTTGGGCTATAAAGGAACTACAGCACGGTCACATGACTTCACATCACCACCGCTAAGCTAAAGGAGGCTAATGTTCGGCGTGATGACATGTAGTAGTCTCATTTT